ACACAAAAAATTTTTTAAAAGGTTGGACAAACTTGATTGCATGCAATTGCAGAGCTTCTGCCTGGCAAAGGACATAGCTAACAAGATCACTAGAAAGCCCACGGATTGGGAGAAGTTCTTCACTAGCCATAAAACGGCCAAGGGTCTCATATTTAAAATATACTTGGAACTCAAAAAATTAAATTCCCCAACAACAAATCCTCAAAGAAACAACTGCCCAATAAATAAGTGGGCTAAAGGCTTAAAGAGAAACTTCTCTGAAGAAGAAAGAAGGATGGCCAATAGACACATGAAGAAATGCTCAACCTCCCTAGCCATAAAAGAAATGCAAATCAAAACAACGTTAAGATATCACCTCACCCCAGTTAGAATGGCAAAAATCAAGAACTCTAACAACAACAGATGCTGGAGGGGATGTACACAGAAGGGAACCTTACTTCATTTTTGGTGGGAGTGTAAACTTGTTCAACCACATTGGAAAGTAGTATGGAGGTTCCACAAAAGACTCCACATAGAGCTCCCCTATGACCCAGCAATCTCACTTTTGGGCATTTACCCAAATGTTCACGAACAAGACCACTCTAAAGCTACCAGAACAACTTTGTTTATTGCAGCATTATTTACTATAGCTAAGATCTGGAACCAACTAAGATGCTCCTCAGTAGATGAATGGATCAAGAAAATGTGGTATATATACACAATGGAATTCTGTGCCTCCATCAGAAAGAATGACATTGCCCCATTTGTTAGGAAATGGAAAGACTTGGAAAAAATTATATTAAGTGAAGTAAGCCAAGCCCAAAGAAACATAGGTCCCATGGTTTCCCTTATTTGCAATAGTTAGTATATGTATGAGTCAAGCAGAAAGTTCAGATAAGTGAAGTTAGGAAAATAAACCCTAAGATACGAATTTAAATGTTTTTTTTTTCTTTCATGGATTTGTTTCTAACGCATTCATAAGATTATTTCTTTGTTGCTTTGTATGAACCTCCCCCACAGCATAACGCCTGCTTTCACTGTATTTGATTTCGATGTAATTTGTGGAGGGGAAGGGGAAAGCAATTCGTTTAAATAGGGATACAGTTGGACCCTTTGCAACAATGAGAAGTACAAGTTCTCATGTCGAAAACGAACTTTACAGCTTTGGAGGGGGGGTGGGGGGAGGATTTGATGGGCAGGAGAAGGCTTGGAAGGGATGGGAAGGGGAAACAAAGGAGGCGGCTACAATGCTTGATAAGAAATGTACTCATTATCATGACCATGTAATTGTAACCCCTCTGTACAGTTTTTTCACAATTAAAAAAATTAATAAAAGGTACCAAAAGAGTACTTTGCTTTTTTGGGGTGAGATGGGAAGATCCTGTATCTCCCTTGTGTCCATAACCAGTCTCTTTTTGGAGTCTCTGATCTGCTTGTTGTGTTTTATTTTCCTGTAACTTGGTTGTTTTCTTAAGTCAGTTTGTTTGAGTAGGCAGAAAAATGCTTTGCTTTACCCAGGATATTGTCATCCTCCTCCCAGGCTAGTTCAATGTGAGGGATATCTGCTTCGAGTATCCCAAAAGAGGGTGATGGCTGTTTCTTCTAATTTGGAGATTCTGTGATGGGGCTAGGTTCTGGGAAGTGTTGAGGCCTTTCAGCAAACAGTAGCTTTGCTCTGAGGGGCTAGCTTCTGAGGCAGTCACAGAGCCCAGCCAGAAGACATTCTCAGGGTTTACTGTTACTGAATTTCAATTGATTGTCTAGGCTGTTGTAGGGAGCGGCAGCCTCTGGCTCTGTTTACCCAGTGAAGAACGCCATTCCTGGGGCTGGTGCAGGCCCGGGCTCGGTGAATTTTCCCTGGGTGGAACTGAGCCTGGCAGTTCAGGTTAGATTCCTGTGACCTGCTAAATGACTTTTTGTTTTCATTCAAGGACTGAGTTGGAGCTAGCTGCACAGCCAGGCCTTTGCCAGTATCAAAGGGGGAGATCTCTGGTAGTGGGCAGGGAAGGGTTGCCTTCCCGTCTCTGCTCCCTGAGAAGGAGTGAGGAATTCAGGCTTCTACTCACACAGGAATCTGGTTCCTGGGTCATCTCTGGCCTGCGATCTGAAGGATGAAGATGTCTGCTCCTTGTCAGTTCTTGCTGGTGTTGAGTAGAATACTCTCGCCTGCTGTGTCTGGTGCCTTTGTCCTAGACTCTCCGTGTTGCAGGTATGGCGGCTACAGCCATCACCGCCCCCACCACAGTCGCAACCACGGCTGCTGGCAAGTGCTCAGATTTGTCTCCTTGCCTGGATGTTCCCTCTCTGGCCTAACTCTCTGTACTGGGTGGCACACTTGGTGTGATTCTCTGGCTTAGGACTCTTCACTGGAGCACTAAAACTGCTTTCTATGTGAGAGCTTGTTTAGCTTCCAGCTTCTCCTCCGCTATCTTCCAGGAACCCTAAATTTAAATTTTAAATGACAAATTCTTTTCAAATCCTTTCACTCAGGCACAGGTATGGATAGATAAGTTATGTGGGCAGAATCAGAATTATTCAGAAGGTTGTAAATGGATGTTTACCGAGTTTTCTCTCGGCTGAATCAAAGAATAGACTGTCCTAATTGGAACAAGTTAGCCTTCCGAGATTTTCTGCATATAAACACTCCATCAACATTTTGACTACCAAGGTATTAGTCCCTGGTCACTTTTTTTTTTGTCGGTCATGCAGGCTGAACTCTGGCCCTGGCACTGTCCCTCACCTTTTTAGCTCAAGGCAAGTGCTCTACCACTTGAGCAACTTCTGGCTCTTTTCTGCTTATGTGGTCCCGAAGAATCGAGCCCAGGGCTTCATGCATGCAAGGCAAGCACTCTACCACTGAGCCAACCTTCCGGTCCCTCCATCAACATTTTATTAGAGGATTATTCAAGATTAGGTATATATTCATTGATAGTGACTGATCATGACAGAAAGTTGAGGGAAAGCCATCTACACTTCAGTAAGGTTCTGATTTGTGCTCCACAAACAGTTATGAAAGCTCTACATGAGAAATCTAGCAGCTGCATTTCTAAAAAGTCCTTGGATTGTTACATTTTCTGATATTGTCTCAATTCAAGTAGTTCTCCTTGGAGTTCCATACTATTCAATGATGCTGTATTAGCTCCTTGTTACAATTTGCAGACTGGTCTTTTTGATGAAATTTGTGCTTTTCAAAATTGCTCTCCATATTCCATCCATAAACTGCATACAAAATTTATCTGAAAAAATTTGCATCTGTTTATAGTGCATACACTTTTAGTTTTAATTACAAACATAGAATGTAGTAAAAAATTCTCATAGCAATTATACTGCACTAGTTGTGGGCAGATTCTAATGTAAATAATATATTGTGTTCATGTAGAGTTTTTGAGTATCCAAAGTAATAAGCCTGTGGTTCTAAAATCAATACCTTACTCATATTGAGTGACAAATTCAATTTCACATAAGCACAGAAGTTTTCCTTGTATCTTTTTAACATATATTTTATTATAAATACTGTACAGAGGGGTTACAGTTACATAAGTAAGGAAATGAGTATATTTCTTATCGAGCATTGTTACCTCCTCCTTTGTTTTTCCCCTACCAGCCCTTCCCTTCACACCTCTCCACCTCCCCCTTTCACCCATCCTCTAGTAGAATGTCTTGTATATTTCACTGTTAAATAGGTCAACCAGTATCCTTATATCTTAAATGAAGAAATGCTGGCTTGATTTATGCTGATTCTGCTTGTGTAGACACATCTAAAATCACTGTCCAAGTCCAAGAGCACATAAATGAAATGCCATCATTTTTTTGTCAGTTGGTATAATTGTGTTCTACACATTTATTGACAGGTTACAAATTATTCTCAAACTTTAAAACATTAAAAATACTTTCTTTTTCTTTCTTATTTTCTTGGCCAGGAAATCAGCAAGACCTCAGTCAGCATTTCTCACATAGGAATTTACACATGGGTTAGTTAAAATTATATGTAGAGTCCAGATTTCTGAGTACTCACTCATCTGCCTAGGAATTCATGTTGGAAAAAGAGCTTAAGTAAGGATGCCATTTAAACCCTTATAACTTTACTCTTTACCAGGGTATTCTCCTGCTACTTTGGTTGTTGAGAGTGTCTACAAGAGTAAGCATTCCCTGAGGAGCAGGGAGACACCATATGACTTATACTTATTGAGATTTCCAAGTGACTTGCTATCACTTGTACTGCATTTTGTAAGTCAAATCTCTCTAAAAATTCCTGTTTTAAGATAAGAGGAGTGGTAAATGAACTCTTAGGGACAAATATATCTTCAACATTTATTGTTCCAAGTATTCCGTTTAAGGTATATTCAACAACTGGTGAAACTTGTGTTGGCTGTAATTATGTGTCTTGCTCCATGTGTGCATGTATACATGTGTATATGTATGTGTGTGAATAGTAACATACATGTGTACATTATGGCTTATATCATCATTTATTCCTTGCTAACAAATAAAGTAAGGAATCCCTAAAGTTTTAACAGAAACTGTGTAGTTAAAATCTTAACTCTTAAATCTTCTTCTTTACACAAAGACTTTGCAACTTCTCATTAATAAAGTTTCCATAAACTCTGAAATGTACATACTTAGTACTTAATATCTGCTACAATAAATCTTAAATACTTTACAGAAAAGTTTTATACCTGGCAAACAGTCCTATTTTTGGCATATATAAGCAAAATCCCAAAATTAAGCATATTTAAAACATTAAAACGTTTAACAAAACTTAACATTTGCTTCAATGTTCATTTTGACATGTGTCTTGTATAGAATAATTGAATTCTTCCTCCTACACATCTCTTGAACTACAAATATCTGGAATTATTTTGTTTTTGACATGTCTATCTTGATTTTATTCTTAAATGTGTGCTTATGTAAGAAATACATGATTCTAAAATTTCACAACTGTTCTTTTGAACTTGCTTTTTGTTGAATTGTCTAGTTTAATGAAATCAATAAAATTATGCTTTATATATAAAAAATGTTCTGTGCTCAAATTACCATCATATACACTAACATTGTATTGATACAGAGAAGAATAGCATGCACCCTGTACAAGGATGACATGCAAATTCTTGGAACCTTCCATATTTTTACAACAACAGATGCTGAAAGGTATGTGGCCACAAAGGAACCATACTGCATTCTTGGTGGAGTATAAACTTGTTCAACTACTTTGGAAAGCAGTATGGAGGTTCCTCAGAAGACTCCACATAAAACTCCCCTATGACACAGTAATCCCACTTTTGGGGATTTACCCAAATGATCATGAACAAGACCATACTAAAACTACCAACACAACTATGGTTATTGCAACATTATTTATGATAGCTAAGATATGGAACCAACCCAGATGCCCCCATTAGATGAATGGATCAAGAAAATGTGGTATATATACACAATGGAATTCGATGTCTCCATCAGAAAGAATGATATCTCCCAATTTGTTAGGAAACAGAAAAACAATATTGAGTAAATTAAGCCAAGCCCAAAGAAACATAGGTCCGATTATTTCCCTTATTGTCAATGACGAATGTATGTCTGGGATAAGCAGAAAAGTTCAAAAGATATGTGCATATAACCAGATAAGATGATGTTAAAGAAATTGAACCTCAAGATAGGGACACAAGTGGTTTTTTTGTTTCTTGCTATTGTTTCTAACGTACTTATAATGTGCGATGTCATTTATTTTGTTTATTTGTATGTTTATCCCCACGCTATAACCCCTGTTTTCTCTGTATTTGAAGTTGGTGCACTTAAATATTGTATGTATGCTTCTCTAATTTGGGGAGGGGAAGGGAAAAAATACTCAAATAGAGATACAGGTTGACTCATTGTAACAATAAGATGCACAAGAGACTATGTTGAAAAATGAACTTTACAATTTTGGCGGAGGAAGGAAGGGGGAGGGGAGTGTACTTGTGGAGGTGGGAGGGAAGGGATGGTAGGGGAAAAATAAAGGAGGAGGTAACAATGCTTGTTAGGAAACATACTAGTTTCCTTGTTCATGTAAATGTGACCACTCTGCACAGTATTATTACAATAAAAAACATAAAAATGTTCTGAGATGGAAGAGTTTATTTCCTCTATTTTACCCATATAATATCGTTAACAAAGAAATGAATGCAGAACACTGATATGAAGGTAATTTGAATAAGTTTGTGTGTGTGTGTGTGTGTGTGTGTGTGTGTGAGTGCGGCAGCGCACAAGCAAACACACACGTGCATGCGAACACACGCCATGCATGTATATTGGCGTGCTCAGAGTATAAAATCAGGGCTTCAAGGTCTTGCTAGTCCTTTCCTGTCTAGATTGGTGAGCTACTATATGAACTGCATCTCAATTCCTGGCTTTTTGCTAGTTCATTAAACATTTTGAAAAATAATTTCATGAAGTTTTTTTTTTTTTTTTGGCCCTGATTGGCTCCCAAGTTTTATCCACAGATCTCAGTCTCCTGAGCAAATATTCAGAGTAGATAGGATTATAGGTGTGACCAGCCAGCACAAGGCTTTTAGAATAATTTTAAAAATAAAAGAAAATTTACTTCATGGGGGCCTGTTTTATCATCTAATTTGAAAGCCTTTTAGAGTGATTATATGTCAATTTAGTTCGTTTGCGGATTGTTAAAAGATAGTAAGTGATGATATTTGAAAGTTTTAGTACTTTTTAAAAAAGAAACTGGAACTGTGGGACAGAAGAAATTTGGCTGTCTTTGGACCTGTAAGCTCAGCTCTGTGCATGATAACCCAATGTCACCAACACAATCTGTGTTGAAGACAAAATGTGACAGAAAACAATCACCATGGGCAATATTTACTATGCTATCATTTCTTGGACAATATGAATATTGAATGGAGAGTGTAAGAGAATGGAGAGATTTTACCCACCTTTTTGTTATTGCTGAAAGACTTTTAGAAATTTTGACTCATTTCCTTCCTCACTGTGTGTGTCTTTGGGCCATGCACTTACTGTCTTTAATTGCAATTTTTCCCAACACTACAATGGTAATAACATTAGCATTATAGCAAATGTTATCTTAAGAATTAAGAGAATAAAACTTGTGAAACACTTAACATAAACCTATGAATGAGCTTTGAGTTTAGCCAGCATTCTTTTTTAAATGCTAAATAGAATGTGATAAGTAGTACAGAAAACATTACATGTAGCGTGAACAACCATAAGTAGTATCTATTGACGATGCTCTGCTTCCAAGGAAGCCAGGTGGATAACTTCTCATGCTGTAAATCAAACTGGTCATCTTATGTCGTGATAGTGTAAAAATATCAGAGACAGAACGATGAAGGAAGGTTGTAGACTGAGGGGAAATCCATATGAAAATGTGCAAAACTGATAAAACATAAAAGTATCTGAGCAGCATGTTGTGTTTTACATCATTTAAGTTACATCGCAAAGATAAGGAAGACCTAGAAGAATAAATTGTCTTTTTGATATTCTATCATAGGTCCTTAGAAGGATGAACACTTTCCTCATTCTTGTAGAGGCATCATCAGATGAGGGGAAATATATATTTTGTTTGCTTTCTTGCATTCATTCTTCAGTTTGAAATCGGAACTACATGAGACTGAAAGAAACCAAGTGAAATTAGTCATGCAGGCTTTGGAAAGAACAAAGTAAAATAAATAAGATATATATAGCCTTGTAAAAGGTCTAACTAAATTGAGTTATATAGTCTCAAGCGTTAACAGAAAATGATTTAAGCAATATCATGTTATTAAAAAATTAAAAATGTTAGGAGCTGCTTAATTTTTTTCCTTTCTACTACCTTGATTTAATTATTGATTTTCTATAGAGAGATTAAAGATGAGATTAACAAGAAACTTGATTAAAAATGGGCAAAAGTTCTGAATAAACATGTTTTCCAAAAAGCCATGAAAATCGCCTGTGGATTTACAAATTTGTATGCTGGCTTAATGCTTTGTGAGCAGAAGTCATTAGAGAAATGCAATTCAAAATTACTATGATACTACTTCTTAACTGTCATAACTCATCAAAAATATCCCAGGAACCAGGTGTGGTGGTAAAGGCTCATAATTCCAAGTGATTGGAGGTTGGAGTAAAAGGATTTGAGTCTAAGGTCAGTGTTGGGTACTGCACACAATAAAAACCTGCCCTTTAAACAAACTCAAAAGGTAATAATGTTGGCTGGCGGCACTGTGGAGAAAAGGAAATTTTCTCCACTCTTGGTCAAAATACAGGTTAGTGTTCTCATTGTAGAAAGTAGTATGCAGTTTTCTAAAGACATTCAAAGTTGAAATATCATCTGACCCACCAATCATGTCATCATTTCTCTCTGGGTAACTCATAATTATATCTGTAGTTCATTGTTATTCTCATTATTCACAACAACAGCCAAGATATAAATCGAAGTCCAGTGTTCACCTACAAACTAATAAAGAAACTGTGGTATATTCACAAATATCTTTCTTTTTCTGTTGATCCCAAAGTAATTTTTTATTGTTTTCTTGTTTCCATGTGATTAACCTCTAAATTAGAAATCCAGATATATAATTTAATTTAACCAATACTATTTATTGAGTATAAGGAACTTCTACTCTCTGCATTATTCACACTAAGATCACCAAATATGAGTCTGAAATAATTAGTCTCTTTTTGACCTATTCTTTACAATGTGAGTGAAATGTTTAAAAAGTAGTATTTGTTTTAGCTTAATTGCTCTGAAGAGACAATAAATGATATTATCAATGCTTAAAAATGATTTGATTTAAAATTTAGAATTCAGGAAATGGTTTTGACTACTCTGGTTACTGGAGCCTTCACTACAACCTCATGAGACAATTTATATTGATGAAGCAAAAATCTGATGTTAGACATTTATGAATAAAAAATCATCATTCTGAATATGTAGAGCTACATATAAAACATAGAAAATTTAGCTTCTAAATACCTGAATATGCTAGTACATTTAATTGCAAGGTAAGTACTTGTTCTGAAAGCAGATAAAATTGCACTTATTTTGAAATGTAAACCTAAGTATTTATTTGAATAAAAGACAATGTTTAAAATATCGCTCATTCAAGAAACAAGATGTACAGTTAGTTGTTTTTCATGCCAATTATGTTCTCTAAACTTACTACAAATACTGGATTAATAAACCTAATTCATTGCATTTTAGGGAAATAGCAATTCCGTTTCTTAAAACTCATGACAATAACTTTTTCTCAAACAATTGCTAAGTGACTGTTTTATATTTTTTGTCATGGAATCTTATTCAAAAAATTTTTATTCATCAAGTTAAATAATTGGCAAACAATATAAATTACGCTTGGACAAAGTTTATTTAACACGAGTTTTTTTTTTTTTTTTTTTTTCAGAAGACAGATCATAGCTCTCTTAATGAACACTAGAAGGCAGTGTGCTCTTTATTAATTTTTAGTTATTTTGTTAATAGATATTAATTGTCAGAAGTGAAAATTCCATAATATATTTAATGTATTTGATTATACTCCCTCTATTTCCTTCTCATTACTCCTTCCTCCAAAGATCTTCTGTTTTTCACATAAATTACATCTTTATATATGCGCATATAAACTAATTTGGAACATTTAAGCTAAACTGCAAGCTAATTCAAGATGTACAGTGAATTACTAGAATGAATAAAAACCGGAATGTTTTTGTTAATTTTTGAATTGAGCTATCATTATTATTATGGTTAGGGTTAGGATTCCAGACAGAATTAGAATTAAGATTAGAGAAATAGAAAATTTAGGTTCATCACAGGATGACCCATTGCAACAATAATACTCACAAGACACTATGTTGAAAATGAAGTTTACATCATGGGGAGGGAGGGGTATGAGAAGTGGGGAGGGACGGTATAGTGGGAGAACAAGAAATAAGTGGGTAACAATGCTCAACAAGAAACGTACTCCTTACCTTACACATATAACTAATCCCTTTTTAAAGCATCTTTTCAACAAAATAAAAATTTTAAAAAATAATGAAAAATAAAACCTGACAGGAAATAGAAAAACACTTAAAAATTTATGTTCAAAATGCAAGTAAAATTTAGACTTACCGCTAAGCAAGAGTTAGGATATATATGATAAAGTTGCT